GTGTTTTGGATTTAAGAATCCAATCTTGGATTTTCTCAAAGAAACGCAACCTAAGTCAATAACCGATGGAGCAGATTAAAATATCTGCTTGTCAGGTTCTAATGATTTTTTAGTATTTCCCAAATTCAAACTACAGCGAAACTTAAAGGAGCTCAGCCATGATATTTTGAGTTATTTTGGCCACATACAAAATTACCTCTAAATGGCAGGAAACCTGAAAATAACAGTTTAATAAGATAGAAAAACACCAAAGAGATAATGCTAAACCATAAAGGAACAAGGATGGCTACGGATGGAGAAGATTAACACAGATTACAAACGATGAATTTCAAGAATTGAGGCTAAACTTTTCAATATGCACAAACTGTGACGTAGCTCCTTTAAGCAACAGAGCACTTTTTCGGTGGTTACAAAGCCTCATCTAAACACGAGGGGGATTCAGAGAATTGGAGAGTTATGCAAATCTGAGACGCATTCAAGCATTTCCATAACTTTTGAGAATTCTCCCAACCCTCTACGTGTTTAGATCAGAAAATGTAAACACAAAAAGTACTCTGGCTTTTATAAAATGTTTCTCAAATATATGCATGAATCTAAAATGTCACAACCATATTTACATAATCTCATCTAAACATACCTATCGACCATTCAGACCGCACACAATATTTCAGTTATTTTATAAATTGCAATGGCACATTTTACAGTTGTGCCATTAGCAATCGATATTAGACCTTTGAGCTGAAGTGAAACAATAATTTAGTTGTGATACAGATCTTCCAGTTTTTCAGTGGTAAATTATTCTGTTATGTTAGAGTTTGTTGGGTAGTTTTACTCTATATACTTTTAAAATACAGAGACTTAGTTACATGATGTCACCAATCTGTAAAATGGTGTAGTTTCTTCAATTTATTTCCAGTGACGATGTTGACATCTTAGTTGTAAGTATTTAGTTTAGGAGAGAAAATCAAAAGCTTGATATATAATTCAGCAACATTTTGAGTAACTAATCAAATTGTTCTGTAGGTTGGTTACCCCTTACTTAAGTCCTTCAAACTAAATCTATAGTTGATATACATATTTACTTCAGTCTGTCGTAAAAAGATGAGTTATAGTTTAATTTACATGTCACATGAGACCACACCCACAAAGTCATACATTAAAATCTGCCAAGTCAGCATGACAAATATTGAAAATAATGGTTATATTCCTTGACAAATACATTCCAAGAGGAACAAGTAAAATTTGCTCTACAGGGAAACAGAAATATCTTGTTTGGGCTTTCGTACAAGTTGAAATTCAATTACAGTTCATTGATTCAATGAAGATCGCATGTGTCAATACAATGTCGGAGACTGTTATAACACACGCACCTTTAGTAAAAGATAGAAATATGTACATGAGAAGTTTCCTACCGCGATTGAGTACACAATCGAGATATGAAATCGAAAGTTTGCCTCTTTTTAACTAAGAGTCCATTTTTAAAAATATTTTGTAGAATTTTACCGATTTGTACACTAAAACATCACAATGCTACAGAATAGAGTATCGATATTTACGCTTAAACGAACAAAACATATACCTACGGCTTAAAATCCACTGAATTACCAAAATATTGCCTTCCTATCGAAATAAAGGCCATTCTTGAAAATCTGGGGGCTTTTACTACGATCATAAACACGAGTACAGTTCAAACACGAAAATTGTATAGTCAGCATTCGATATGTGCTAGTTTGTAAACAAAGTCCGCCGCAATGAATCTCACTTGATAGTATTTCATTCATCGGGATTCGTCGCCTTCGTCCTCTGAACGAAACGAAGATTTCCTCGACCTCGATCGATAATCGTCTGAAAGATCAGATTCCTGTGAATCTTTGAAGTTACTTTGCTCTTCTTCGATTCCCACCACGTCAACTTGAATCTCGTGTTCGGCCGTTGATGATGACTCGCGATTGCCGACCCCAATCAACTGCAAACCCACCGTTTTTGTTCTGTTAGTCAATAACTTTTGTAGCGAATCGTATTTTTTCCTCGCTTCGTCTCTCTCTCTCTTCAAATTATCGTTCTCTCTGGAAAGCTGCTCTAAGTCTTCACGAAGTTGCTGCCTCTCCACCTCTAAATCCTCTTTTTGTCGTACACGTTTCGTCCGACTGTTTTGAGCGTAACCGCGGTTCTTCAACGTTCTCCTCCTCTGCTTAATTCGGTACACCTCGTCATCTGAGACGCCACGCAGAACGCTGTTTAAATCCTTGACCGGCAAGTTAACTAAAACTTCGTCAGTCAAGTTGATATCTCCACCATCCTCTTCTTTCTTCACTCGTTTTACGATGGCGGGCTTCTCTTCTTCCGCCATGATGCCGCCCCAGCATCCTTTGTTGTACGCACGTAACACAATGCCTTCAGCTTTCCGAGAATTTCGATTCCTCCAAGGGTTCCAGTGTCAATGTTGATCTGCAGTTATGGGTCAGGCTAAGGTCTCCCCAGGGAATAAAATCTCTTCCCTCCCTATCTATTTTCCACCCGAAGGCTACCGGAAGTTAAAAGGGGTTGAGCGAGCCTAGGGCTGGAGTCCCGGGGGGTATTCCCTATACAAGGAGCCTCCACCCAAAGGGGGTTCTCTCTTCTGGCTTCAGGTACATAACAGGGTAGGGATTTCACAAGCTGGTGTGTAAAAATATAGGAAAATCTGTCATTTAGTTACTTTAACAGATGCACCTCATGGCCATCATTTAATTTATTAGGCACTACATGAAAATGACAAGAAGACTTCCTTTTTTGGTGATTTATTCACAATATGGTACAGTATGTGAAAGGGGCACCTTTTTTCTAGTAAAGGCATACAAAAGGGGCATCTTTTCCGTCAAAGTGGTGTACAAAAGGGTGAGTGGTTGGACCTTGGGGCTGAGCATAGAACTTTGTGGGAAGTCTTTGTGGAACTTTGGGTAAGTCTTAGATTCGTTGCTCTCTCAGCTCAGTGAAACCTAGGGTTTGGCCAGTGGCACTTACTACCCATCAGTTGGAGCAGAAGCCCATGGTATGAGAGTATTTATAAGTATTAGTAAAGAAATGCCAGCTTCCCACTCACCCCCCCTCCCAACCCCAGTGCCCCAATGTCCAACTCTCTCATGACCACTGTTATGGCCATCTCCACCTGCATCACTTTGTTATGTGACTCTTCTTGGGGTAAGTGGGATTGTAGAGAGAGTTCACGAGAGAAGGAAGTTGGTGGGGGGTATAGAATGACAAGGAAAAGGGTAAGTTTATGACCAAAAAATTTAAAGAAAAGTATGAAACTTAAAAAAAAGCCCTTCTGTGGGGAAGGAATGGATATTTCATGGAACTAAACCATGTTTAAATTAGTAAATAAGTAAGAAACTTTATTTTACCGCGGTAGCCCATTCAGCATCAAGGACTGCGGTATCCATAGGGGTCCTGAGAAATAAAGATATGTACAATCTAAAAAATCTTAAAATTAAGTTGGGTCACAGTTACATCTATGCCATCTCTCCCAGATTTATGCGGGTGTCTTTGCGGAATCTTCTTGATACAGGCTAAATCTTCCTGTCACCTAGAAGTTGAGAAGGAAAGCATGTTTTCTCACCAATTTTGGCGAATTTGGGGGTAAACGTTTGATCCACCATTGCAGTTTGGTGATCACAAGTTCTTTTCAGAATTTTTAGGTTGGTGTCCCATGTTTGTTTCCTTTTATGGGGAGCGGGGATGGCACAGTGGTTAGAACGTTCGCTTCCCACTGATGTGGCCCAGGTTCCAATCCTGGACCCAGCGTCACATGTGAGTTGAGTTTGTTGTCGGTTCTCATCTTTGCTTCAACAGTTTTTCAGCAACTCTGTGTTCTCTGGTTTTCTTCCCTTCACAAAAACCAATTCAATCTTGAAGCAGTGGAAGAAGAGGCTCTCCACAGAATGTGCTTCTGCAAATTCCTATTTACTTATTTATTTTTTTAAAGTGGCATTGATCTAGTCACTAGTAGTTCAACTGAGTTGATTGTAGAAATATGAACATATAACAGGTTTCAAAATTAAAGTACACGAAATAAATAGGTTTAAGAATTGATTGACCTGAATCATACCTCAAAGCAAGCGACTTGTACTTAGTTTAAAATTCTTTAAGTGCCCCTATTTTTGTTGTGATAAGTCACTCCATCGACACCTTGGTTGACACTCAATTGACACTCAATTGACACTCTGTCGACATCTCAGTCGACAGTTGACTAATTTTAGATTGATGCATATGAGTTGGTCGACACTCAGCCAACTATTGACCAATTGTTGATAAAGTGTTGATTGAGTCAACTGAGTATAGATAAGGATATTGATTGAGGGTATCGATCGAAAGTCGATCACGGATGCCATAAGTACACATGATCCAATTTGTCCGGGATATTTAAGTAGCTTGATCTTCAGTGATGTCCAAACCATTTTTCACTCTGGCATTTCATGTTCTGTTTTTTTTTAATGCTTAAGTTTTGAAATCCATAATTCTTGAGATATAGATCAGTTTTAAATTAAGTGTCAAAAGTAATCAGGTGATTACTTTGGTTTTGGTTTTTACCACTTAATTATAAGCTCATATTTTGTGTTCTCTTGACCTACACAGGTCACTAGTTTTATAGTCAAAAGATATGAAGTCTTGTAATGGCACAGAGATGTGTCTGTTAATTTTTCAAGCAAGAGTGACATGTTCTCGGGAGATTGACTCCTTTGTGAAAAGGTCAGAGATGCTTGTCATCTTGCTTAGGGGTATAAATCCTCAGATTTAGTCTCACTTAGGGTGCTCAGGACCAATTACTGACTGTATTTTTAGTTGTCAAGGTGTCCTTTAGGGTTGCACTCCAAACAACTATACAAAAACACTGTTATGTTCATTTTAAAGTGGTATCTTTAAGGGGTCAAATAAAGCTCGAGCCATTCTCAGATTGGTCTTCTTAAGGGGTTTAATTCAAACTTTTCTACGAGCATCCCAAACCTTTTCACATGGGAGTCCCCCCCCTCCAAGATGTGGAAGACCTCATGCTGATTGTATGGTGCCTAACGTTTGGAAGAATATCTTACTCATAAAAAGAGTTATTTAAATAATTTTAGCTTTTTAAAGAAAGACTGAATTTGTTGCTTGGGATATGGTTTAGTCGCAAGACAAGTAGGATAGTTCTCTGGTTGTTCGATCCAGAGCTTGTGATCAATTTGATTGGCTGATAAATTCTGTGATAACTTTTCCAGTTCATCTTGACCTGGAGCCTGCAAATATAGTCAACAAATTCACAAGATCAGTAATTCCATGAAATATTTCATTGTTTTACTTTTTCCATTAGACAGAAAACCTTGATTTATTCACTGGGAAAAAAGCAGCATACAAATTTATAGACAATTACAAATTAAAATGTTACAACTTACAGAAAAGTATAACAGGTGAAATGAGTAACTAAAAAGAACTATTACAGTATTGTATATGCCAGAATCAAACAAAAAAGTGCTCTAACAGTGGCAGATGTAGGGGGGGGGGGGACAGGGTGAAATGGGTGGCAAGCCACCCCCTTTTTGGAGAGGCAAAACAGTAAAAATTGAAAAAGGTTGTCAACATATTATGGCAGAAATAACTTTAGGCAAACTCTCTGGTCAGTTACCTCATTGTAATTTCTAATTTGTGGCATTGCTAGTATTTCAAGTGAAACTGTTTTCAATTAATTAGGTACAGTAGGTTCCAAATATTCTCTAAGAATGCAACATTTTGGGAACATGCCCCATAGATTCTACATCCTCAAGGTACCATCCAGCCAACCCCTGTCTCCCCCTGAAAAATCCTGGATCCACCCATGTCTAAAAACAAGGTCTCAAACTTTCTTTTTGTCTCTCTTGAGCTTGTTTTTCAAAAATTTAACAGGCTGTGAATTAGAAAGGGTCTTTGTTCTTTGCAGCGATACAGATGTAGTGTCTGCAGGCTGGCACAAGCAAAAAGTAGTTACAGTCAAACCAATTGCCAGTGAAGCATACCCCTCAACATTACATTTAATGAATTGATTATTTGAATATTGAAACCATTAGTCATTCCAAGAATAGGGCTAATGGTTCAATATTCAAATAATCAATTCATCAAATTAAATGTAATCTTGAGGTGTACACTTCCCTTGGTTTGACTGTAATTGCCTAAAACCGACTTCTACTCATAAAGAAGGCTACGGCAAATAGAATATCACATTGCTGGAGGTTAATCTGCATGTTAGTGTTGACACAGTTACAAGTGCTAAATGTATCAAAGGAGTTTCATTTGCAAAGCTCAAATTTAGGCTACTTTAAGGTAATTTGAACACATTTTAGCCTCAGTACTTTCCTCTCAAGGAATGATATTTAGTGAAAAAACAAAGTGAAGATGAGAAAACCATGAAATATATTTAAGACAATGGTTATCATATAGGACCCTGAGTTGAAAGGAGTAGGATTAAGTGTTGGACAGGATCACTGTGCAGTCCCAGAAAATAAGTACTCCTATATGTAAGCTGAGAAGGGTATGGTTTTCAGGCAGTTTATTCTGGGGATAGAGTAAAGAAATTGGACAGTTTTGGTCTAGAATGTGGTATAATTTACTGGAAAAGTGACCAGTGTATTAATAGTGTAGAACAGGGTTCTTTACCCGGGGTTCTATAATAGAAATTGAGACTCGGAAGTGACTTTGTAAGACATTGGTTTAGTTGGCACATGCTAAACTATGATAGTAATAAAGTTTTTGCATGCAAAATAGCTAGTCTGGGATAGAGTAGGGTTTTTTGGTGTCTAGCTAGTCTAGAACAGTGTTGCAAAATCCACCTTAACATGCCTAGTATAGGGTAAGAGTTTCAGTGTTCCAGTGGCACACCCCTACCCAAAGATCCCTGAAAGATGACAAAGTAGTCCCCCAGGCTGGCATCCCTTCCAGAGGATTTGAGTTACTCTTCGTCATTTCATGCTGTGGAAAGTGGCATAAACTCTGGAGATTCAGGTCACTTGCACCCCGGGGAGACTCCCACATGCAATGGTTGGGGATTTTCGCTTTTTAATTAAACCCGAAGGGACACAATCTGGGTGCTGCTCGAACTTTATTTGACCCCTAAAGGATACCAATTTAAATCAACACGACAGCGTTTTTAATTATTTCTTCGCGAGCAACCCTAAAAGTTACCTTGACAGCTAAAAATAGTAGCATTTAGTCCTGAACACCCTATTAGTGAGATCAAAATCCATGAGCATCCCTGACCATTTCACATAGGAGTACCCTCACTGGCACTCACCCCAGAGTGACTATAAATAAATGGTGTTGCTTTCTGCCTAGTAGTGACTCACCTCTAGAATAACCTTGTGCATATTGTCTAGGTCAGTAGTGTACTGTAGTGTGTTAGAATCATTACGATGCATCCAAAGAATAGCTGTACTTGCGTGGCAAGCTTGTGCTATGACAGCTCCTGTTGGCCACGACAACAATCTTAGAAGATCACCTCTAACCACCACATATTGGACTAGCTGAGCCGATGTTGATGACATTGGAAGATTAGGTGGATCCTGCAGAATACTCAGTATTAAGACTTGAATATCTTAATTGTAAAACCATGAGCATGTAATGATAGGCACCAAAATGGAGGTGCTCCACATTGGATGTCTTTACAGGCTGGGAGATAATAATATTATCCTTTAGGGGTGGTGGATGGTCCTTCAAAAACCATGGGTCTCACAAAATTTTTGTCAAATTTCACAGGGCTTGCAGTCCCATTGTCTCAGTGGCAAAAGCCATTTCTCTCGCAGTCTTGATTTTTAACCGATTTTTTTTAGAAATTCTGTCTGAGCACCTTTGAACCTCTGGGGCAGATACAGGGTTTTTAAGAGAAGGGGGTTCAAGATACAGACTGCTGAAGGCTGTCCCCTGTAGGAGCGGGGTGAATAGGGATATGCAAACCTGCCGATCCATGCCTTTTTTGGCCAAATCTGTCGATCTGCCAATATTTTTGTTTAAATCTGAAACCACAGATACAACCGGAAAGGTAAATGTGAATGCTATTGTTACAAGTAATTTTGCACAAGAAGATAACAAAAGAAAAAAACATAAAGAAGGCAACATGCTTGATGACTATAACACAGTAAAATTTCAATAACAGTCTCACACCTGAGTTTAAATGAGCTTTGCTCGAAAAAAGAAATAATTTGGATGAACTCATTAACATACCGACCAAGGCTGGAGAGGGCAAATTTTGTTTAGGACCCAAGATCAGAGCATCAAGACAGGCACAATCCGGAATCCACGTCAAAATTCACAGCTGATCCATGATCCACTGTGTTTTCAAAATCCGCCAATCTGCTCGATTTACTGCAAAAATCCACAATCTGTGCGCTTTTTAAGGTCAAACCTGTCAATCCGAAAGCCTATTCACCCCCCTCCTGTAGGGATGTCTGGGGGCATCCTCCTCCATAAAATTTTTAAAATTGAGCTCCTTGGAAAGGATCAGATTTACCGCATTCTGATACCAAATCAGCGTGTTATAATGTCTCATTTTTTTTTAATTTAGGGGGTTCAACCAAACCCCCCAAACCCCAACTAGATCCACCCAAGAACATGAACGCCTTGAGCTCGCATTTAAAATACTTTGAAGTCTCAGTCTCGCAATTAAAGAAGTCAAAATGTCTCAGGCACTCGTATAGAAAAACGCTCGCCTTCTTGCAAAGTCTTGCATTTACCATTCACCACCCCTTCTCTTGACTAGCTGAAAAGTATATTTGTCTTGCTGACAAAAGTTAATCTTTGTGAATGGATGCAGATGGCTTTAAAAGGAATGCCTGCCAGCAAATTGTTTGGTTTCAGAATTTTGGCTGAATTGGCCTTCACCCTCTAATGAGGAAATGAAATGTAAGAACAACAATATTGTTTCCCTCCCTGGGGTGGTTACAGGATTTTAGAGAAGGGGATTCAATATATGGGCCACCCAAGGTGGTCCCCTGCAGGGGGATTCAACAACATCCTCTCCCTGAAATTTTGTTTTAAAATTGAGGTCCTTGGAAATGGGATTTCTGGCATTTTGAGGACAAGTCAGCTTGTTAAGATGTCTCATTTTTATTTAATTTAGGGGGGGTTCCCCTTGAAC